TTCGATGTTCTGAAATTCATCGACGCCGCTGCGATCGAAGGATTTCCGGCAAATGTCGATCTGAAACGGTGCTTCGTCGCCGGAGACAGCGCCGGCGGAAACATAGCGCACCACATGATTCTGAGATCTGGAGAACACGAGTTTCGCGATTTGGAAATCGTCGGAGTCATCGCGATTCAACCGTTTTTCGGCGGAGGAGAACGAACAGAATCGGAGAAAGCACTCACCAAAGCTCCCCTGGTTACGGTGGACCGTACGGACTGGTACTGGAAGGTTTTTTTACCGGAAGGATCGAACAGAGACCATCCGGCGGTGAACATTTTCGGTCCGAACTCGGCGGATTTGTCGAAAGTTAGGTTTCCGGCGATTAAAATTTTCGTCGGAGGACTGGATCCGTTAATCGATTGGCAAAAGAGGTACTACGAAGGGATGAAGAAATTAGGTAAGGAAGCGGATTTGGTGGAATATCCAAATGCTTTCCACAGCTTTTACGGTTTTCCAGAGTTGCCGGAGTGGTCTCTTTTCATCAAAGACGTTGCAGATTTTGTACAAACGCAGTCCTCCAAAATGATCAGTCGGCGAAATCAGAAATAATTATGGATGCTGAAAACGGAACCAGAAAATTTCTTCATCAGTCAAAGGCAAGATTATCCGTTTTCTGCGTTGCTTGATTTTCTCTAGCTTTCTTATGATTTATGCTGTAATCACAATTAAACTCTCAACTCGACAAATTAGGAATGTTATCTGTTGAATTAATGAACGAAACTTTAGCTTTACTTACCTTTTTCTTAGTACATGTAATGTTTCAATTTTCTATGAAATTATTTAGCAAATATGACAGTTGACGTTATTCCCAAATTGTTGTATTAAAAAATATATATATAACTGTGGAAGTGTACACTAAATAATAATACATAAGCGAGTACCCATACTCTCATGAGTGCAAATACTCACCTATTTGTTTATTTGTGAAGCTATAGTGGAAAGTAGGCCACCGTTGAAAAGTTAATTCTTATTTATATGTGTTGGATGATGTGGGTCACATAGTATGAATTGAAATACGCATATTGGAATTCTTTTTAATCAATATCATATATTTTTAATAGTATTGATTGATTTAAAATTAGTAGTTCAGCAAATCTGAAAAAATGGAAGATTGAATTTATAATTTTTAGAAAAGTAGTAAGATGTCTTAATCATTAAATTATGTTCTTGATAGTGTAAATAGTAGGTTTTAGATAAGATTTAAATAGAATAAATTGCATATGGAATAACAACTATATCGTGAACATGTCATCAATACAATTCTAGAAACCATGGAGAAGCATATGGTCATTTGGTCGCCTTTTTTTGTATATTATCATTTTTGAACCATTATTAATGTTAATTGGTGATAATCTATCCTCGCAATGATTGTCGTTAACACTCTTTATTATTATTTTTTTGAAAAATACAAAATTTTTCTTTTTTATATTCCATCTCATAAATATAAAAAATTCAAGGGTGGTAATAAAAAGATAAGAGTGTTGAATGAGAGAGAAGAAATATATCCTTTTTCTTATCTCCCTCCCCCCTTTTTCCACTCAATATCTCTTATTTTTTGCTCTCTTGATCTTTCTTTTTGTTTCGTTCCACTCCCTCCTCCTGGTCACTTTTTCTTCTAGTTTTCTCTCTCTTTTCTTCTTTAACATCTACCGAAAATCGACCAATTAACTCACTGAATTACCATTCAATTAGTCTGTTTATACAAAAGTTGGGAAATTGCAAATTTTCTACCAATCCAAACGGACCGACATGCACCTCTAATTATATTGATGATATCTTCTTAAGTGTGTACATTGGAGCAATTTATTTTATTTAATACTTTTTGTTCCAACGTCATGATATTTAAAACTAACAAATATTGTTAAAATATATAATAATACTAATTAAAAAGAATCCCAAAATGACACGTGTGTATTTATACGGCACCTCGTCTATAAAAAATATAACAATGATGGGTAAGAAATAGGGTTATATCACTTTGTTTGTTTTCAAATATATTATTCTCTTTTTACTATAGCAATCAAATGTTGTTCAATACCAACCACCATTATGATTTTACAACTAAGAAAGAAGAATGCATAAACAAAAAGGCGAGAGATTTTTAATAAAAAAAGGTAAATAGCTATCAATATTTACCGCACTGAGCATTTTCGGGAGTTCAAATCAGAGAGGGTCTGAAAGTAATTGCTGATCATAGAATTTCTAACCGCCCACTCACTACTCCACTTAATGCTCCACGATCTTTAGACAAGGTATTGTGGGTAGTCATAATGATCTTAGTCGTTAGCCATCTATAAGTATGTTAATTCTCAAGTACTCAGTAGTACATCAATTTGGACTTTTCTACCCAACGCAAAATTCAAAAACAAATCATCAACTTTAACTACTTCTACCCTAGAAAATCTTTAATATAAAATTATGATTACATTTTAAGAAATATATTGAATTTAGTATTGCGGAACTCATGACCTTTCGATAAAAAACTAGTGTCAATTACTACTAAACTAAGCTAGTTGGTTTACCAAAAGTTTTATTTTTTTTTTTTTTGTAATTTATTTAACAAAAGTCTCGTTAGAGTATACTTCTAAGGGCATATATTATCTCCTTTGAAGTAAGAAAATTCAAAGAAGTCAGTAGAGGTACAAGTTTTCTTGATCAATTCAATCAACTTTGACCTTGACCGATTACATTCCGTGAGTTTGTTGAGAGTTCATTGAGATTAAGGCTCCAATTATAAACAAAAGGAGAGAAAAAAGGAAAATACTAGCAAGGGAGATTCTCCTTCCATTTTCGTCACGATTTTGTCACAACCATCCACAATTATTTCTAGAGTACTGAGAAACGATCAGTCCATTGAGTTGTGATTTGGATTCCGCCTACTGATCATCTTCGAGGACTGTGTTTGTACGAAATCCACGACGTCTCTGATGAACAGAGCCCACTCTGGCAACTCTGGAAAACCGTAAAAGCCGTGAAATGCGTTTTGATATTCCACCAAATACGATTCCTTACCTAATTTCTTCATTTCTTCGTAGCATCTCTTTTGCCGATCGATTAACGGATCCAGTCCTCCAACGAACACTTTAATCGCAGGAAATCTAACATTCGATAAATCAGCCGAATTCGGACCGAAAATGTTCACCGCCGGATGGTCTCTGTCCGATCCTTCCGGTAAAAAAGCCTTCCAGAACCAGTCCGTTCGGTCCATTGTAGCCAGTGGAGCTCTGATTAGTTCTTTCTCCGATTGAGTTCGTTCTTCTCCGCCGAAAAACGGTTGAATCGCGATGACTCCGACGATTTCCAAATCGCGAAATTCGTGTTCTCCAGATCTCAAAATCATGTGGTGCGCTATGTTCCCGCCGGAGGTGTCTCCGGCGACGAAGCACCGTTTCAGATCGACATTTGCCGGAAATCCTTCGATCGCAGCGGCGTCGATGAACTTGAGAACATCGAAGCCGTCTTCGTACTGGCAAGGACAGCGATGCTCCGGAGCGAGGCGGTAGTTGACGGAGATGACGACGGCGGAGATCTCGCGAGCAAGGCTCTGGCAGAGGTGGTCGATGAGTTTGGAATCGGGAGCCATGAATATGAATCCGCCGCCGTGAAAATAGACGATGAGAGGCAAGGATTCGGAGGTTGAATCGGAGGTAGGAGCGTAGAGACGGAACCAGAGRTTGCGGGAGGCATCGACGGTGACATCGAAGCTTTTGAGGCCGTTATTTGGTTTGTTCAGAGGAGGGGATTTGAAGTCGAAGAGGTGAGCGAGACAGCGGTTGACGGTGCTGTTGGAGCGACAGCAAAGGTCGGTGCCGGAGCCGATGGCGAAGAGCATCAGCTTCACCCTCCATGGGAGCTGCAGCGCTGAAACTGCGTCGGTCTTGGACATCTCTGCGCCTGTCAGTGGGAACTGTGAGGAAGATGAAGATAAAAAATCAGAAATCGATCATTGATGATTAAATAATAATAAAATAAAATAAAATAAAAAAAGATAAAACCTTGTTGGTAAGTGTGTTATTTTTTATTTGAGTGGCGGAGATTAAAAAATTTTCATGGAATATTTTGCAATTAAATAAAAATAAAAAATGTTTGGTTCAGGTAAGATTATTTTTATTTTTGTTAGTAGCTCTACTTACTTTTTTTTAAGTTCGTGTCGTAGGTTTGAATTTTCTAACTTCAAAAGAAATTATATAAATGCTTTTCAACTGTGGAAGTGTACTCTAAATAATAATACATAACAGAGTATCCATCAACCAAAACTTCCCTTTTATATTCATCTATTTGTTTATTTGCAAAGCTATAGTGGTAACTGTTAAAAAGTTAATTTTTATTTATATGTGTTAGACGATGTGGGTCACGTAGTATATGAACATGCCATCTATACAATTCTAGAAATCGTGGGGAAACATCTACCCATTTGGCCACTTTTTTGTATATTATCATTTATGAACCATAATCGATGAGAATCTATTTTCATTTTGATCACCTTTGACAGCCATTTATTATTATTATTTTTTAAAAAAGAAGAAATATATATATATTTTTACATCTATCTTCTGAATCTTAAAAATTTAATGGCGGTGAAAAAAGAAGATGAGTTAATTTTTTCTCTCCCTCCTTTTTACTCTCACTCTTTCCCCTCTCTTATGTTTTTTTCTTCTTAGTTTTCTCTCTCATTTCTTCTTTCATCTGTCTCTCCCTCTCAGTTCTCTATCTCTATCTTTTCAATCATACAGTCGCAATACTGATCTACTTCTCCTCTAACATCTACCAAAAATCGACCAAATCAACTAACCAAATTAGCAGTCAATATTTGTGCAAAAGTTAGGAAATCACAAATTTTTGACCAATCAAAACCAAATAGTAAGTTTTTGATGTTTGTTTTGTATTAAAATCAACATTGAAACCGACCGACGTGCACCTCTAATTAGATTGATGACATCTTTATAGGTGTGCTAACTGGAGCAATTTATTTTATTTAAGTCGTGTCTAAAACAAACTAGTTTGTCTCCCGGTCATGATATTTAAAACCAACAAATATTGTTAAAATATATAATATTAATTAAAAAGAATCCCATAATAACACGTGCCTATTTATACCGCATGATCCACCTCATCTAATGCATGTCTAGGACTAGAAAATTTCTAGTCCTTTTGTACTACCTACATTTAAAGCGTAAAATGTGTAAAATAGCTTTATTATATAAATAAAAAATATTTATTTTTCTAACGTGAAGCACACATATTTGGAAGAAAATCACTCTACTCTATCTCACCTYCTCTTATGGTTTAATGGTACATTCTCTCCTATTAGATATTATTATATGTGATTATTTATTTTCCTTTTTTAAATTTATTTCTCTGTTCATTGTTATTCATACGTTCACTCATATCTCTAATTTTCTTTTTTTGAATTTTTCTCCCTAATTTTAATGATTCTGCACTAGACTATTTATATTATGTATGATTTTTCTATTTATTTTCATTTTCTTCTTAATTACTTTTTTTTTTCTATCCCATTCTAATCACATCTTTTTCATTTTTTTTTGAAGGTATAAAAATATTTGGATGTATTCATCTCACGTGAAAGAGTAAATGTCTATCTTATGTTTAATTCTTTACATTTTTTAAATTCATCATTTTTATGAATTTTTATTATTTGATTATAAATATACTTTTTTTTTTGTCTTTTAGTAAAAATATCGTTTAACTTTAGATCTAGTTAAAATTTTGTTTCAAATCAATGGAACTAAATCAATGGAACTATATCATTCAATAGAATGAAATTTTCAAATAAGTTCATGACATATTTTTGAATATATGTAAATTTATTATTCAGTTTTATTATTTGATATTTGTACGTTCATTAAAAAAATTGAATATCAAAACATATACCATTATCAGTGATTAACCTGCTGAGAAAATTGCACACTGTTGATAGCATACGGTTGCTTCTCGTGGATTTTCATAACCTTGCTGTGCAAAAATGGGATATGCATTTGAAACGGGTGCCCAAGTTATTATATATATCATGAGTGATAYGGAAATAGATCGAGTAATCTTTTCCTTTACCGAAGAAAAGGTATTTCTAGTTTGCATGGTCCAATAATTGAGTCCAAGAATTTCTACAATAAAATTAGGTAGGTCCCAAGTATACTTCCCTGTATAGTAATATTGCATAGCTTCACAATCTCAAGAGATGCATTGTTTATTCATATATAGTACCTCTACTCAAGTGTCATAATCTAATAGAAGGTTATCTCAAGTTTCCATCAAATTAAATAGACACAAAATTCAGTTGGGGATTATCTCAAAGGATGCATGATTTTCATGGTACGGATCGCCAGTCTCATTTAAAGACTCGGCAGAGTGGACCGAGGCGTGGGAAGGACTCGGCGGGGCCATGGTGGTTGGGCAGACCTCCTCCGCTGCTGTGGCCGGTGGGATTGGACCCACCGGACGAGCATCGTTGAATCTAAAAATATGAAGAATAGCAGTGATGATTGCAAAGTGTGAGCACGTTTTGTCGAGGAGGAGGAAGAAATAGAGGAGGAGAGCGAAGACCGCAGTGGAGGCGGCGATGAGGAATAAGCTCTGAAAATAACTGAGATCGAGACTAGGAGAAGACGAGTTCAAACTGGTGCTGCAAGATTGATGGCTGGTTTTCTTCCCAAACCACTTGTCCTGTATTTGGCCCATTTCTTCACTCTCGGTCACTTTTAACACTGCCTTCGACATATCTTCTACTATAGATGAACCTAATTGGAAGGCCTGCAAAATTTCAATTTGTGAACTCAGAAAACAAAAATCAAAGTATAAGATGGCATTGATTTGTAAAATTACAAATTCAGTACTTTGAAATTTCATATAATTAGACTATGAAAACTTCGCATTACATTATGCTTTTTAATTTTGAATTGTGTGTGATTTCAAATAGTTTCATGTGACATGTTTATCTGATAAATATTGATTGATTTTACACTATATATTATAAAAATAGAAATAGAATAAAGAAGTAGATAATTAGAAAAAATAAAATGTTGCAGTACATAAAAGTGATTTGATACATTAAAAAGGAAAAAAGTATTTTGTACTTTCTCCTTCTGTCATTTGTTTATAAATCTTTGCCAAACTAGATCAGTAATTTGTCCTAACAAAACACTACATACAGACTTATTACAATCACAGTTCAACTTTTAAAAATAAAGGAACTGATTTAAAGTTTAAGAAAACTTAGTTTTATAATTTGAGCTGAAGACCCATTACTTCAACGAAATTAGAATCAAGGAAAATAAATGAAAATGGAAATAGAAAATTGAAATCACTCTCGGTGGTCTATTATTAAATATTAGACCAATAATTTAGAAAATTTTATATTGATGATGGTTGTCTAATAAAAAGTATATATATATATATTGTCTAGCTATGCAATTTTATTTTGATTATTTATTATTGGTTAATATTAAATAAATGTTATAATAAAAAATATTTAAAACAGTAATAAATTAAACTAAAATTTATTATTACGTTAATTAAAAATAATATAGCATACTATTTGTAATTAGTCAGATATAAGAAAAAAAAATTCTAATAATTTATAAATATATGATTTCGGACAGTTTAAGTAAAACAACTTGATTCCTATTCCACAAAATTTATCATCAAATAAATAACGTAATTCTCATCCTGATTTTTAAAGCTGCATTTGATAACGATTCGTTTTTTGCTTTTTTGTCTTTGGAATATTTTCAAGTGCCAAAGACAGGAAAAAAAATTTGAAATTTACTTTTTTATTTAATTTTTTAATTTTTTAAAATTTGATTTAGATTTTGAAAACGTTTCTAAAAATAGATAGAAAAAAAAAACACATGAAAATTATACTTATATGCTTAATTTTTAAAAATAGAAACTGAAAATAAAATGGTTAGGCTAATTTCTGTAACATTTGCGGAGAACAAAAAAAGAGGGCTTACAAATCCAAAACCGTTGCTTTTGAAGAGAGAATCAGCCATGGTATAGTCATCATAATGTGTTGAAAGAAAGAGCTTCATGTAAGGGACCTCGTCAATGACAGCGTCGATGCCGCCATTGCAGCTTCCTTTTGTGAAGAGCTGCTGCAGTTCCTCTAATGAGTCATAGGAGACCAAATTTTTTATGCCCAAAGATTGGAGTGTGTGCAAAACATAAGAGCCTTTTTGATATCCGACACCCCAGTTGTTTTTAATGATCTGATTGATGTCGGTCACCGGTTGCAGCTGCTGAACTGTTAGCCACGACGTTCGGCTCGCGGTGTAGCTCTGAGTTAGAATGAACACCACGAAGAACCATATCACCACCACCAACCTCGCCAGATTGCTCACCAACGTCTCCAAAGCTTTGAGTTAATGGATTAAAATCACCAATGAACTCAAAAATTTAAACTAATAGATTAAGGTAAATTAAATTCATTTACAGAATATCTAACAACTAAAATATCAATAGATGAGTTAATTAAGTTGAGTTGGCACTGTTAGTAAAGAAAAAATACATTTTAAGTCGTTATGTGGGTTAGGCTATATGTGAGTACTGCATTGAAATATTTACAGTTTATAATTTTTTTAAAAAATTTTCAATAAGTTGTCCAACATCTAACATAATCATAACCTAAATATTTTATCATTAATGCTTGCAGCTTACATTGTGCGAAAACAATGGTGCAGAAGGAGAACCAGAGAGTGGTGCCGATCTGGTGAGACGGGGGACCATGACGGAGGCCTTCGTTGTTTCGGTGATCGAGAATCCAGACGACAAAGCCCATGAAGACGAAGAAGCAGAGGGCTGTGATCCAGAGTTCCCAAGTCAATGGCTTCAAGAAAATCCATGCATGGTTCCTCAAGTTACGTCTTAGAGGCACCACCGCTGCAATTCCAGCTTCCGTGAATGGCAATGTGAAGTCTACCCACAAAGATCTGTTTGCTAATATTGTTATGTCTCCAACTGCTACATCATATACCTGTCCACAAACACCGCCATTAATTACATACAAAATTATAAGGGTAAAAATAATAAATATTGGGGACAATTATCTAAAAATTGCCATCCGTTAGTTTAACTTCCGGGACTCTCTAGAACTATTTTCTAGAGATTGGAATCAAATTGTCGATTTTTGAAACTTAGGACTAAATACAAGCCTAACTCTAAACTCATCCGGAACCAAAAAGTGTAGTATATACACAAATTATAATTAGGAGTTAAAATGGTTACGTAACAAGGTGAGTTGAAAATCTTTTAAAAATAACGAGGAAAATACTTCTTCGGATCTGTTTGCTAATATAGTTATGTCTCTCTTTTAAGTTGTCAAACATTAAATTGTGATCGGAGATGGTTTTTCACCGGTCAAGACGTAGAGTAATTTTCAGATTATAATTTAGTCTAAAAGAACTTGGCACAACTAGACCGCTAGACGTACCCCTCGAGACACTTCCATGATCAAGTCATCGTAGGAAGCCGATGAGCGTCCACGCGTATAATTGAAGGGAACACATTCATACGGTAGATCATAAGGAAGCTGTTGAACAGCTGCTTTAAAGATATCAATGCAGTACCCAACAATGGAGCCATTGTTCACTATAGTAAATTCAGTAAAACCAGCATTCAATGGAACTCCTATCTTCAGTTTCTTCTGTGAAGTCCCCCATCCCTTGGGAACTCTAAAGCTGTGTCCTGGCCAAATTATAGGTCTTAAATCACCTTTTTGATTCAAATCTCTGCTCAGATTCATTTCAGGAGTCCAATATCCCACCCTCATTACTTGTCCATCTCCCACTACATTCACTATCTCCAAATTTGGTGCCTCTAATTGCCCTTTAACCAAATTAAACTCCCCACTAACACCTTTGAATTTTGTCTTAGACAGTGACTCCCTGATTTTCTTGCCATTTTCAGACACCACCAAATTAGGATCCATTTCGATTCTCTCGACAGCCATTGCTAGCGCCCATGTCGCATCGTAAGCCCATAGCCCATAAACATCTAATTGCGGGTCATCGACCGTTGGGTTGTGTTGTTGGAACTTCTTTCTCCATCGAGCCGTGAAGTTTTGGAGCTCCGCGGTCCTTGGGACGTAGGCTTTTACTCCCAAAACTCCTTGCATTGAGCTGAGAGTTGAAGAGTTCAAAGTATTTAGGACATTTGCTGTGGCGCTACTCAGAATCCATGCATAGCCTTCGCTCATCATCCCAATTTCCTCTGCCTTGTAGAAAACTTGAGTCGCAAGACTGTGCTCCATGTGAACCACCACAACTCTCGTCCGCATCATCTTCAATCTATGAAGCTCTTTTCCGATCTGATTGTCAGATGCATCCGAGTCGATCACGCTCCGGTGAACACGGATGTATACTACCTGCAAATTCATAAATTTTTATAACTAACAAATTGTCGAAGGTAAATAAACCACCGCCTAACAAAAAGCTTAACTTACAAATTTAGTAAATTTAATTCATTTGTGGATATCTAATTAAACTAAATTTTACTTAATTTCCAAAAACCATATAAAAAAATCAAGTTTATAAATACTACTTGTACGAGTGAATTAAAAAGTAAAAGTAGGGGTGTCTACAAAAACTGAGCCGATGCTGAACTAACAAATAGGAGGAAAAATTTTCACAAAAAATTAAGAGTCAGAACCGTCACATAGCCAAAACCAAACAACACCGAGCCGATGAATCGTCGGTATGTCAGTTTGGTCAAGCAGTTTACTGTTTATTATGTTTTTGCACTGGTTCGGGTGGATATCGAGACGGTTCGGATTTAGTAGACTAGTAGTCATGCTGGTAGTAAGCTGGTAATGAACAAAACAAAAAGGGTGAGGAGGGAGGCTTTTCTACTGTTGCTTGGGAGATGAGAGGAGGGGATGGCTGAAACTGGACGACAACTCTTTAGAGTTACGTTGTTGCGGCTGCCAATTGGGAGAGATGAGAGTCGAAGAGAGAAGAGACAATTTACAGGAAGGAGAAAGAAGAGTCGAGAAGCTAAAGTTTACTAGGTGTTGCTTATAACAAGGTAATAACTACCTGCAAAGCCTGGATGAGATCAGCTATAATCCAGTTTCCAAACTCATCGTCCTGGTACATGGCAACGACGTACTTCCAAGCAAAATTCATAACGATGGCGTGAATGGCGTAAACTTGGGAGGACTGGTTCTGGGCTACTCGGAACAAGTATGGAGATTTGAGATAAGAGAAAGTGGAGCTTTTTGGTGCAAAGGAGATGATTGGGACCTCAGCTTTCTCACCCAGCTGCTTCATAGTGAAGTAAGCTTCCAACCAACTTYCCATTCCCAAAATCACTTCTACTTTGCTCTTCTGTATTACCTCCAAGCCTGTTTCATCAAACACAAAACACACAAATTTTGCATTCTCTCCAACTTAACTTTTGGGCCAATTAATTTCTGGAAATAAAAATGATGCAGTAGAAGTAGGAACCCAAGCTTATTTCGCAATTTAATTAACCCTGGTTCTTTTGGACCAATGAGCTACACCGATGGTTAAGTTGTTGTACTAATTAACAACAAAACAAGAAATAGAAAATYGATATGAAACATACAAACAACAGAAATAAGAAATAAGAAACGAAACGAGAACATTACGAAGAATCTTTTGAATGTTCTGGTTTTTAACAAAATAGAGACAGAACCAAGATGATCAAGCTGCTGTACCTTGAGCAACAGCTGCAAAAACATCACCCTTGGAGTCTTTGATGTGAAGGACAATTGTGGTGTTGTGTTCAGGATGAGAAACATAGAAGTCGGAGACCGACATGTCGATGCAACTCAAACTCATCTTYCCAACCCGACTACTTAAATCGAGAACGACGCCCACATTCACGGTGGTCGTCGTTTTGTTCTCGACGGCAGACACCATCAGTGACTGCGTCGTCCAGCTGATGCCACGAACTACAACAAAACCTACAAACAAATACCCCAAAAAACCAGATTTTGGCCTCATTTTCCAAAAGCGCCTTCTCTCCAAAAAGTTTGGACGACACAATCAAATACAAAAGATCAGTAGGAGCTCTCTCTCTCATTAATTCTTCGTTGCAGGACAAGGTTTCACCACTGGCTTTTCTTTTTTAAGCTCATATTATTTTCAAGCAACGCTCATTTATTAAAAACTGGCCCGCTCTCTCTTTCATTCCAACCATATATTAAATCATATTAAATTCTTTCTTATTTCTCGTACGTCTAATAACTATTTTTTGTTCTTTCTGTAAAAATAGGAAATATGTTTGGAACCATTTATTTTTCTCATTCTCTAAAAACAACTATACCAAAAGCTAATGTTTCTAAAAAAAATAGGACACGAGAAATAATAGACAAGAATCTGAAACATTGCAAAATGAGCCATAAATATTCAATTTTATATCTAATAAGTTATCGTCATTAATTCTGTGTATAAATATCTTAACCTGCTTAAAATCAACCATTTAACTACATGAATCAATTACTTACAAAATTAAAAGTTGAGACTTAAYAGGGTCCAATTAAAATTTAGAAACTCAGAGTACAAAGAATGAACAAATAAAGTCAAAAAAATTTATAATCAAACTGATAACTTTTTTTCAGTGCAATAATATATGGAGCTCACAGTCTCTTAATYATGTAAATTAGAATTAGCTCCCTAAACCAAACTTATAACTAAACCTCTATAAAATAAACATGTTAGAAGCACGCTACAGTATATACAGAGAATTACCATCTCCCGAGTCCCGTGTTCCACCAGTCATATAAAAAAAAATTAAATAATCTTAAACTATACAAGGTCGTCAGTCGTCACCTTCCTGTGTATGAKATCAACASTATTTTAAGTCAAAGTCTTTTAATATATATTGATATATTCAACGCTATTTTACATATTAATATTCAACAGCCAAAGTCTTTTCTCTTTATGATTCTTGAATCTCAACTTTGACTCAAAGTCTCCCTACATGTTATTTTTTTTTTTATCAAACAAACACGGTATTAAAAAGAAATAAGACCAATATTACGTCACAAGAGTGGTGATCACGCACCACAATAAGAATCCACGAAGGAAACAACTATCCCAAAAGACAGAGAAACGATAAGAAATGAGACACTTGACTAATAAAATAACTTGTTGTATATTCAAAKAACTAGGAACATGAACAAATTTTAGCCCACTAAACACCTTCTCCAAAGTCACAACATCTTCAATCATATTTAATGRCATCAGRGGAGACTCTTGTCAATCATGRCACCCTTATTTAGAATTAGAAGGAAAATAATTACTTGTCTTATTCTTCACCGYGACAGGYAAGRGAGGATTAGACAAATTCTTCAAATCATGCTGGTCACGTATCTCGACACAATAARAACTGATAGCCTTCACATATTCCAACATAGTTATTTATGTTTATACATTAATTTTTTTCCTCAYAAAGACATGTTTAGTAACCTTGTCTTTTCTTGTTTTTTATTTTATTTTCCTTGTTTTTTAAGAAAGAAAAATAAAAATGTGTGCAGTCATATTTTGTCTAACTTTCTCTTTTGTATTGAAAGAAATATTTTCTCTAAAATTATAGATATAAAAAAATATTAAGTGTTACATTAAAAATTAACAAAAGGTAAAATTAATATGTTATATTTAATTTTTTAAATATTTAATATACATTTTACAAGTAAAATACAATAAAATAATACTTTAGTTTACTTCTTGAAAAATTGAAATCCGGATACAAAAAGCCAAATATTTTTGCTTTGAAAAATTGTATACAATTTTAGAATTTAAGCGTATCAAATCTTATCTAATAATGTTTGTTTAAATCCTCCTACTTATTATTATTTGAAGGTAAGTTGAACTAAAACTTTTATTTCGGGACAAAATTTTACATTTTAAATTATTTTTTACATAATCTTTTTATTTAAAAATATATATATATATATATTCCTCAGTTACTCTCAATTATTTTAAACCTTTCTATCATGCTCATATAATATGATCATTTTAATCCAAATACAATGTCAATTAATTCATGTATTTTTTTCTACACAAAGGTCACAAAATATCCAACCTAACTACTCTAGTAGTTTTAATGCGAAAAAAGAATCATAGTCTCTTTATATAAAGAATCAGACATTAGAAAGATTCATGCGACCAAAAGTGAAATAACTTGAAGAGTTTTTAAGACAAAGTATGTAATGATTTCAATGACGGTGTATTATCTCTAAAGATGCTTGATTACCATGTTCCGAATTGCTGGAAGGACGGGACGGGGCAGTGGTGGTTGGAGAGGCATCCACCGTCGCCACCCTGCTCCCCCGACGGCTATATTCGAATCGGAAAATGTGGAAGGTGGTGGCGATTCTTGGCCATATTGTGTAGTAGTCGAGTGAGAGTGTTGGGAAGAAATAGAGGATGAGAGCGAAGACAGCCGTGGAAGCAGAGATGAGGAATAAGGTCCAAAAGTAACTGAGGTCAAGGCTTGAAGAAGAGGCTAACTGATAGGAGTTGGCGATGCAAGATTGTTGGCTGATTTTCTTCTTAAACCACTTGTCTTGTATTTTGTTCATTTTATCACTCTGAGTCACACGCAACACTGCCTTCGACATATCATCTACCAGAGGTGAACCTATTCGGAATGCCTGCACTTTCAAATCATATCAGCTTGAGGTTCGAACATCTTTAAATCTCAAGATAACCCGTTTGGAAAACATGTTGAAAATTAAACACAATAATTATCCTACATATATTATATACATGAACTATGATCCCTTTCCTCGTTCGAGAATCTCCTCCCTTGCCCCCCGAATTGCACGAAATGGTCGCCTATTACACAGCTGTCTTGAAGAGTGRCCTGGACCAATTCAATCACATTTTCATTCATTTGGAATCTGGGCTCTTCTACGTCATTTTCATTTATTTATTTTTCCCTCTTTTTTTTTCTTTTTTATTCCCTTCCATCATCCCTTAAGTCTCATAGGTTTGATCCTGTAGAATCTGATCTATTTTTTCATTGAACGAAAGGTACGAAATAAATCAGATTGATTTTTCGATCAAAAGTACTAYGTGAAATCTTCACTTTTTCCCCCTTTCTCTATCCCTATCCTRGGAATACAATGTTTGAATCAATAGAGAACCTTYTCTGGTATCYGTATGAATCGATATTATTACATTCCAATTCCTTCCTGATACCTCCCAGAGAAAATTCYGAATTGGATCTAAAATTGACGGGTTAGTGTGAGCTTATCCTTGCAGTTACATATATTTAACTTTTAAGATAGACTAATTTGCAAACTTAACTTTAGAGTTCTCGAGGTGTGAGTTCAWTCATATACTCATGAATACTCTTCTATTTGAGTATCACAAATGGCTTCTAAGGACATACAAATTTAGATGAATCTACRTCCACAGTCACATTTTATGTAGGCTACTACTCTTAATAAATTTTCCTCAAAAGCACACCTTTGGGCTATGATCTTCTCTTTGAAAAATTATTGAATGTGGCCGTAAACCGATGATCATCTCGGTTATACGTTGGTAGAAAGTTTGATTTTTTTTTTTTATACCCATCTCCCATTAACATTAGTTTGCCTATTAAACTCTATACGTTGAAATTAAAAGAGACATCGAGATGATTCAAAAAGAGAGAAGTAGAGAAGGAGAGAAAAGGACTTACAAATCCAAAACCGCYGCCATTATATTGAGAATCGCCCAAGGTATAGTTATCAGGATATGTTGAAAGGAGGAGCTTCATGTAAGGGGTCTCGTCAATGGCAGCATCGAGGCCGCCATTGCAGCTTCCTTTTGTGAAGAGCTGGTGCAGTTGGTCTACTGAGTCATAGGGTACCAAATTTTTAATGCCTAAAAGCTTCAATGTGTCGTAAACGTAAGAGTCTCTTTGATATCCAACATGCCAATCATTCTTTATGATCTGATTAATGTCGGTCACCGGTTGCAGCTGCTGAACTGTTAACCATGACGTTAAGGTTGCTGTGTAACTTTGAGTTAGAATGAACACCACGAAGAACCATATCACTACCACCAACCTCGCCAGATTGCTTACTAATGTCTCCCCTGGATATACGTGCAAAAAACAAATTAAATTAACAACAATAGTTAATGCTAAAAAAAATGTCTAAACTTAATAAATTTTTTATATATATAAGAAAAAGAACTATAGAATGTGTTTAATAGTTTCTTTATTTTTAAATTTTTGTCTAATACATCTCCTAATGCTAAAAAAAATTGTCTAAACTTAATAAATTTTGCGTTTAATAGTTCTCGACATATATTCGATATTTTTTAAAGTTTATTATTCTATCACACACAAAATTTAATTTTATGTCCAATACATCCATTAATTTTAAAAGATGTCGAATAGGTCGAAGATATATTTGACACCAAACAAAAAATTGAAAGACTAGTTAGACACTTTAAAGTGAATGGAAGTTTAAAAAACTACGATAGGATAGTTTGAACGTTCTAGCTAATCATATTTAGATAGTGATGRTTCAACACCATCACCATTATGCATTTCTCTCCTRCTTGTCAAAAAAATTTAATGACGGCTAATAAGAACCAGTAGACAGGTGGGTAGTTAAATAAGATAATATGATAATTGGAGGTTGAAGGAGGTGAATTACTCTGTGCGAAGACCATGGTGCTGAAGGAGAACCAGAGACTGGTTCCGATCTGGTGAGACGGAGAGCCGCGAGAAAAGTCTTCATTGTTCCGGTGCTCGAGAATCCAAACGACGAATGCAATGAAGATGAAGAAGCAAAAGCTCGTGATCCAGAGGTCCAAAGTCAATGGCTTCAAGAAAACCCATGAACGGTTTCTCAAGTTATGTCTTACAGGAACCACCACAGAAATTCCAGTTTCCGAGAATGGCAAAGTGAAGTCCACGAGCGAACTTCTGTTTGCTAATATTGTTATGTCTCCAACTGCAGCATCAAAAATCTGTCCCACAAACATATCACCATTAAATTAACAACCTAGTTAATTAGTAATTAGAATAAATTTCTGAACCCACCCCTACAGACACTTGCATGATCAATTCATCGTAGGTGCCGGCTGAGAAGGGAACATAATGATAAGAAAGAGGATAAGGAAGCTCTGCAACAACTGCTTCGAAGATATCTGTGCAGTATCCAGAGATGGAAATTGAACCATTATTCTTGAAGACAAGAGGCATGAAAACATTGTTTACTGGAACTCCTATCCTCAGTTTCTTCTGTCTATTCCATCCCGTAGGAGCTGTAGTTGAGTCCCCCGGCCAAATTATGGAACTTAATTTACCTTTTAGTTTCAAATCTCTGGTCAGATTCATTCCAGGCGTCCAATATCCCACCCTCATTATTTGTCCATCTCCCATTACATTCACTATCTCCAAAGTTGGGGACTCTAATTGGCCTTTATCCAGCCTAAACTCCCCACTAATCCCTTTGAATTTCGTCTTCCACAGTGACTCCCTGATTTTCTTACCATTTTGATGATTTTGAGACACCCCAGAAGTCAAATTGGGATCCATTTTGATTCTCTCAACCACCATGGCTAGCGCCCAAGCGGCATCGTAAGCCCACAATCCATAAACATCTAATTTCGGGTCATCGACGGTTGGATTCTGTTGTCGGAATTTCTTTCTCCATCGAGTGGTGAAGTTTTGAAGCTCCAATGTTCTCGGCACGTAGGCCTTTACTCCCAAAACTCCCTGCATTGAGCTGAGAGTTGAAGAATTCAAACTACTTAGAACATTTGCTGTGGTGCTACTCAGAATCCACGCATAGCCTTCGCTCATCATCCCAATTTCCTCCGCCTTGTCGAAAACATGAGTTGCCAGAATGTGCCCCATGTGAACCACCACAACTCTCATCCACATTGTTTTCAATCTCTGAAGCTCTTCTCCGATCTGATCGCCAGAAGAATCTGCCTCAATCATGCTTCGGTGAACATGAATGTTTATGTCCTGAAAATCCAAATAGTCTTTATGTTACATGCCACGTTAATTACGGAAGGAGAAGATCATGGATATATAAGACCTTCTGAACAAAACAAATAAATTTGTGAGAGTTGTGCTAAAGCCAACGTGAGAGTCCCTTATGTAGATGGCTCAAGAGTGATTGGTGAGCCTAACCGTCATTACTGAAATTATGGATGAATCTTAAAAATTATAAGATGCATTAAGAGGGAGAAATTTGTCCCTCTTTCATTCTTCGCTCTGCACATACCTGCAAAGCCTGGATGAGATCAGCTATGATCCAGTTTCCAAACCCATCGTCCTGGTACATAGCTACAATCTGCTTCCAACCAAAATTTTTAACAATGGTGGTAATGGCGTAAACTTGGGAGGACTCATCCTGGGCTATACCGAACAAGTATGGAGATTTGAGATAAGAGAGAGTGGAGGTTTTTGGTGCAAACGAGATGATTGGGACCTCAGCTTTTTCACCCAGCTTCGAAATGAAGTATGCTTCCCACCAATTTTCCACCCCCAACATCACTTCTACTTTATTCTTCTGTATCAGCTCCATGCCTGTTTCATCCAAACACAAAATATACAAATTTTTTTCCATTATGGCCACCTACATAGAAGATCCAACAAATCTTAATTTAGGTAGTGTCTTAACCTCTAAACTATATTAATGTAAGAGAGTTAAAGAAGATGAATAGCGTCAAAACAAAATACATATTAACTGTTACGAGAGAGAACCTTGAGCAATAGCTCCCACAACATCGCCCTTGGAGTCTCTGATGTGAAGGACAATTGTGGTGTTGTGTTGAGGACGAGAAACATAGAAGTCAGAGACCGACATGTCGATGCAACTCAAACTCATCTTTCCCACCCAACTACTTAAATCTAGAAGGACGCCCACATTCACGGCGGTCGTTGTTTTGTTCTCGGTGGCAGACACCATCAGGGACGGTGAGGTCCAGATGCCACAAACTACAACAAAACCTACAAACAAATATCTCAAAACACCAGATTTTGGCCTCATTTTCAAAAGCTTTTCTCCAAAAAGTTTGGATGACGACATAATCAAATACAAAAAATCAGTAGGAGCTCTCTCTCTCATGGACTCATCGTCTCACACTCTCTTGGACAAGGTTTTACCACTGACTTTTCTTTTTGTAAGGACAAAGGATTTAAAGCATCGCTCATTCATTAAAAAGTGGCCCACTCTCAATTTCAATCCAACCATATAGTGAAGACAAAAAGAAAATATCCAACCATATAGTATTTTTCAACTTTTACCCAATTTGTACGTTTAAATTCAATAGTTTCTACTTTAGTCCCTCTACTTTAGATAAGCCACTAACCTTCACATGTGTCTATTTAGTCGTATTCCAAAAAAAGAAAAAAGGATTTATCTATTTAATCTTTGTATTCTAAAATGTTGTTAATATAGTTTTATAAATGCTTATGCCTTTCATACTATTTGTTTCTCGTTTACTTTTCTTAATAAATAAAAAACAAAACTACATTTTTTTAACTGTTTTGTTCTTTTCCTTTTTATTGAAAAGAGAAACAAAAATATGTTTTGCAACCCTCTTGTTTTCCTTCTCTAAAATTTTAAATTAATTAAAGGAAACAATTTATAGGAAATTTATTTTTTAAAATAAAACATTAATTTTTTTATGTTATATTTAATTTTTAATATTTATTATGTATTTTTAAGTGAAAAGTAATAAAATAGTGCTTTTGTTATGTTTTGGGCAAAACAAAAACGGAAAATGATAATAAGAAAAAAAGAACTTGATTTTGCTATTYCTACAAATTCAACACAATATTGGAAATATTTCTGAAACAAGAAATATAAACGATTACCCCTAATCTTGAGGGGGGCGTAGATCGAGTTCTGGGCTAAGATTTCCCGCATGTGCTTTYGGAACCCCCCACATATTCAATCACTTGCTTTCGGAGCCCAACGCATCTGCTCCCGTTTATGTGACGAACCGAACAACCATCGTTAGGTCCCGAATTCTACAAACCACCACACTCTTTTAATTCAAAGTCTTTGTATATATTTTGATTATTCAACACTATTTTACAAACTAATATTCAACAACCAAAAGTCTTCTCTCTTTATGATTCTCGAGTCCAAGTCTAATATTTATATGAAAGGAAAGGAAAGGGAGTTGGAGACGGCGAGACCGTACGGACCAGTGCTTGATGGAAGGAAGGCAGTTCGGGGGACCCCAGTTATTTGGCAGAGAGCCTTTCTTGTATGCTTTATGGGGCGTGATGAAGAGAGAGTGTTTCTTAGAGTTTTCAACTTCTAGACGGCACGTTACTATTTCCCATCTGTTTTTTTGCTTAACTTATTATTTTTCAAAGCTTCCAAGGTAGAAGGTGAACAGTCAAAAAGTCYTCTTATGGAGTATGATAATTGATAAGTTTGTGATCTCTTTTAGTACTAACATTCCTAATTCTACTATGAGCCCTGTTGCGACCACACTATTTCTGTTAGAACAGTAGTGTGTCCTAAGAAGTATTTGGGAGCGTCTGTGAATACAACGGCAAAAAAGTTTATGTGGTGAATACGAAAACACAGAATTTATAAAATAAAACAAATTCATTTAAATGAGTTTCAAAAGTTACGCTGACCTGGTCGAATTTGGGCTTTTTATGTCCGTGGCCCATTTGTCTGCAAGCCCAACCAAGCCGATCACAATTTAAAAAGAAAAATACAACTGCATTTCGTTGATCTGGTCATTTTGGGCTTTTTCTGTCCGTGGCCCATTTGAGTCTGCAAGCCCAAGCCAGTTTGGGTCTGTGTAAAACTTCTGTCATTTCTTGAAAACAATGAGATTATTGGAACAGCAGAGTTAAGAGTGAGTGGTCATGATTCCCCTTCTGGACTGGGCTGGAGCCTCGGGACAATCCTCCACAACGCAGTGGAACGTTAATTTTAAAATTTAATATATTTTTAATACGATTTAATTTTAAAATATTTTAATAGATTATAACTGTGTTTTATGAATGATTTGCAATCAAAACAACAAACAAAACTTATAAGATATTAAAATATCAAGTGATAGAGTGAAATCTATAAAGGAAGTCAATAATTTGGAGCCTGTACCTACGTTTGGAGAGTATCTTTTGATCAACCATCTTTTGATCAACCGTGCTGCGGACAAACCACTTGCACCACTCACGTTCTTGAATGTAGGGTTAACTCTTTTTTTTTTTATATCCGTATGTCTGGACAGCTTACGTGCACCTCGACTATTCACGGATCAACCGTCTGACCCTACTACATTTGATTCACAAAGAAACTCATAGGAAATTAAATCCTAAGTTGGTAGGTGGCTAGGTAGCTATACCATAGTTTGAATTCATTCCCTCTAAGTCTTTTGCTAATTACATTGACTCTCATTGACCACTTGAGTCATCCCATGATGGTTAGAGTTAACTAATTTTAGAACAACATTAAATATAAAATATAAAAAATAAAAAAGATATCTCACGACTGCTCTGGTGGAATGAAGCATGAACTACCCTTTTTACCAATTTTTTTTTTTTTTTGGTTCTAAGAATCCACTTTGTTGTAACAAAGCAAGTCAGCCAAAAAGCATAACATTTCAAAGTTAGGGACTTCAGAACAAAAATAGGATTTAATACCACAAACCATTGTCCCTATCTCAACGTTACTCAATCAAATTTTGAAGTTCATGAGGCAAATCGTTCCTACCGTCAATTGCTTATTATATACAACCTACCAGAAAATCATTGAACATTCAAAATTCATATCAAACGAGATATCATACGATATTAAGTGATCATGGAATCCGAAAGAGGCACATCAAACAAAAATACTGCACACACAAATATCCCTTACCTTTATCAAACAGAAAGACTGCATTGGTCCAGCGTTACTATAAGCAATGGTGTCCAACCAATGTCATAATTGATTCGGGACGATTTTGCTTCTGCAATTAGCAGTATATGCTCCATTAATATTAATAACAGCTAAAGTTTCAAAGGTAAGTGAACCAAGTGTGTTTCAAAGGCAAGCAATGGTGTCCTTTCTAGCATAGGGAGCAGCAAGAAACTATTTGTGCCCTCCTTAAAAAAAGAAACAAAGAGAACGTAAAATGATAAATAAATAAATAATAATAAGAAAAAAAAAACCTACCTTTGTTCTCTTCCCCTACATGTGTCCTCCTTACAAAAGCATTGTCATGAATCTGAAAACCATGCTGGCAGCTCACCCTTTAAAAAACAAGCAAGATGTCTTTGGTTGAATATGATCGGAAGCTTCCTTTAAAACCTTTGGCTAGAGGGAAACCACAGAACAGCGGGAACAAAAGAAAATTCCTTTTAATTTGTAACTTGTCTCTTAGTCATATATGTGCTAATTGAGAGGGCTTTTCATAACTCCCTTTAGCCTTTTATAATTTCTTTACTTCAATGGATTAGTCTTTTTGCTTCGTTTCAACAAAAAAAAAAGGAAAAAACCAAGATAATTTATACATATAACCAACCATTGGCAAAATCAAGAAAGGTAGAAAGAGTGAGAAAGAATACCTTTTCAATCAATCATGGGTTGGACACAGTTTCCATCATTCTAAAAATTGAACTCGAATTATCTCCTGTCAAAAATCAACACGAGATTTACCATCACAGAGGAAACAATAACTTACGTATCTCATTCTATCCTAACCAGTTTTTAGGTGGATCAGTTTTTACTAGTACTGTTGAAATTTATTTCCTAAAAACAAACCAGGTTCTCATTCAAATCATGCTTAGAGCTTTTTAAGGTATATGACAACCTTTTACCGTTCTCTTTTTAGGTAAGAAAGAAAGAGATGAAGATTTGATGGTCTGGTTATATCAAAGCCTAATGAATG